AGCACAAACTAAATACTTCTTGACAAAATTAGTGAGTAATTCAGCAAAAGCTGAATTGAGCAGGCTCAGAAGCAAATGAGAATTATTAGAAAGGATGAAGGCAGTGGTCACACTGAAACCATCTTTCTTATAACAGTTAATGGATATTCACTCTCTGGAAGCTCTTAAGTTTTCTCCTTTGGCTTTCTAAATGATATTGAAAATACCACTTTCCAAATAATGCTTGTCTATTAAGGGACTTTTCCTTCTGTTATTTTAATAATTCCATTCTTTGCAGTTACATTTTAAAATGAATAGTCCAGTTTCACTTTCCACATACAATTTTTAGGCTTGATTTGCTACATTATCAACAGTCCATTCATTCTGCATCTTTTTAAAAAGATTTATGTATTAATGCATTCAAGAGCTGGGGTGTAGGCCAGAGGTGTGGGGGTAGGGGAGCGAGAGGATTCGCCAGAGATAGAGTGGGAAGTAAAACAGGCAGACTAACTGAAATACACTGCTATGGGAACAGTGGGGGAGACAGGAGAGGTCTGCTGAGCCATGTGGGCCACCTCCTTGGCCGGGGTAGGACTCATTGCTGCAGTGTCTGGTGATAGCTTCATAGTTTTGAGACTTAACCCCTCACTCCACCAGGGATGCTTTTATTCTGCACCTTTAAATCAGTAGGAAATCTCAATGCGACCAAAAAAAAAAAAAAAACACAAAATTTAAGAGTATAAGGCAAATGTCTTAGACTTGTGTTTAATTAAATCAAAGTATGTTTCCTCTATCATGACTGGCTGAGGCCATTAAGCAGAATGACAATCTAGCACAGAACCTTAACACTCACACTCTAATCCAGCAAGTCAGTGTACACTGATGCATATGTGAACCTCCAGGCCCACATACCACCATCGCCTGGAACCTTTCATGGGGCCATTTTTCCTGCTTGGGGAGACTGGCAATTGCCAATAACAAACTATGGACAGGAAAATGATAGCACTGACATGTCTATCTACACAGATGAATGTGAATACATGTAAACTTTTATAATTTCTTAGATTTTTACAAAGGATCCCATGTCCACTACTGAGGACAGGTGGCCTGTGTCATACATGATCCAGGTGTCAGGCCCACACATCTCCTCTCAGAAGCAGCTACTGATCTTGTATCAAAATCCATATGACTTTGCATTACCTAGTAGCTTGAATGATGACTTCTATGTATCTGACACCAGTACAGTCTTCTAAAATTTCATATTTGGATAATATACAAATATCTTAGGAAATTGATGTGATAAATAAAAGAAGCAAAATCTTAGGATTTGGATATTTTATCCTAGTTGATTTGATTTAGTAACTTTGCCCTCTTCCCACAACTGCAAGGATCATTCTCTATATTCTTTTAATTGACAAAAGCTAATTTGTTTTGCTCATTTTGATGATATTCAGAGATAATTGGGTTGGGAATACTAATCTGTGTTCTAATTGGAAAAAGGATGTTACTCATTTTTGACTTCTAAATTTCAATAAAAGTTGAAGATTTTTTAAAAGCTTTTTTTTAATGAGGACATTTAACTGGCCTTGTCTATGTGGCTGTTAGTTCTCTAAACTTAATGACTCTTTTTATAGAGAATGTTTCCTAAAGATACCCTTCATAAAAAGGACAAGTTTGGACTTGGCAATAGTAATTTACCTAATTTATCTTAAATTTGGTTTCAGTGAGCAACCCTAATTAACCTGATTTTTTGCTGATAATCACTCTCAATGGAATCAAATCACAAATCCGGGGATGGATTGAGCGGCACCCAGAAGGAAGCAGCACTCCGCGCCCTGGTCCAGCGCACAGGATATAGCTTGGTCCAGGTAGGAACGTCCTTCGACATCCACTGAGACCCACCCCTGAACCCACAGAGTAGTGCGGATTTTAGGTATCCTAAGATGCAAATGTGAACAGACATTTAACTAATGAGATGGCTCATCCTTTCTAGGGAGGGAAAGATGTTATCTCATTTTAGTTTTGTAGGTGACCTTGCAATGAATATTTTTTCTAGATTATATTAGCGACTCAATCTTAGGTTGGTGTTGAAAGCAGAAAATGTATCTATAGTCACAGAAATTATCACAGATTTGAAAGGCATTTTTAATATGCAAAGGCAGGCAGAATGCACCACCCAAAGCTGTGAATGAAGTAGAATCAAGTTAGTATTTCAGGAGTCAGCAGAGAAGCAGTTATCTGGGAATTAATCTAACTTTCCATAAGGATCACTGCAGAAGTAGGAAGACTACTGGATATGAGATCCTGACTGAATATAGATCAGAAAAGCTATATTCTTATAATACCTACCCCAACAGTTTCTTATATATAACCTCCCCATGTTCAGCATTTTGGAAAAGGAAAAAAAAACTCCTAAAATTGTCCATTCATAGATATTGATCATGATGAATTATCAGTATATCTTTATAATCTTTATCATAACCCTTTTACAGAGCTTAATAGTATTAAGCATATAATATTAGATATAAAAAGCAAACTAGTGTTAGGTATATGAATTATCTTATTTGAAGAAATAATATTGCTCTTCTTACAGTGAGAAAAATATTTTACTCCTCAGCGATGATTTTACCCATCCTACTTAACCAAATCTACGCACTGTTAGGAATAAAAACATCATATATGAATAACAAGATATGCAACTAATTCATTTTATTACATGTTACTTTGTCAGATTTTTGAAAGTATTATTCATTCAGTTTCCAACTAAACTTATTAATCAGGCGTGCTTTGTTTGAGATAATATAATGCTCCAAGTGACAAAAACTTTCATTTAAGTGAAAAGCATTTATTTGAACTTTCTTAAGACTTTGGAAAGTATTATTTACTGATAAACAACTTAAAGTTTCATTTAAGTCAAAAGAAATACTAATGTAGTATTAGCTTTTCGTTCTAAGTAAAGTCAAATATTTTTTTTAAAATCATTAGTAAACCTTTACATTTTTCACCACCAAAATTAATGCTTCAAAATTAGTGTTTTTATAGCCTCCCACTACATAAAGGGATGTTCCATAGTCCATACAGGTTTATAAAAAAAAAATCTTAAGACAATATAAATTGTCCATTTAATTTTATGCATGGCACTAGTTCTTTCTTTTCTTCCCAGATGAAATTCAGAGCAAGTCACAAGACTTTCTGGTAACTTTCAGGTAATAAAAGAGCCTCCACTGAATAATTAATATGTCTAGTCCATTATAATAAAAACTTCATTCAAAGCTATAGCCATTTTGCTTTCCCAATTATGGCAGAGAGCTGTTTTCTCTTTTCCTCCTTTATGCTTTATTCTTCCTGTATCAGTTTACTAAATGCAATTTCTGACTCACAGTTAAAATATAGAGGAAAAGATAACAGCATAGGAGATGCAGGGGAATGTCTACTTCACTGATCCTGGCATTGGACCCTGGGCTTGGCAGACACATAAAACTTGTGGGATATTTCACAGGATCTTAAGTAAAATTATCAGCAGCAAGTCTACTAGATAAGAAATCACCAGTAATGCAGATATCCAAAATTCTAAAACCTAGTTATCTAGCTCTACAGCTGCTAATAAAAAGGTAAATATATATATATGATTCAGTCCAATCACTAAATGAAGCAAAAAGTTGCTCCTGATTTTGCTGAAAAGTAAGGAATTTCACCCAAGATATCAAATCGGAGCGGTTTTGTAACCTAGTCTCTACCAAATATAACTTACATGATCTTAACAAGTCCCTTAGCCTCTGTTGGCCTTAGTTTCCAGAAGAGTGTCTCGGTCTTAACCCTCACTCTATTTGTCATAGTTTTGTGATTCCTGTCTCTGCCCAATCTGGCCTTTGGTCAGCAAACTGGACTAACTGATTGCAAAAAAGCATATATCAAAAAACAGCATGTAAAAAGACATAGCCTAAACTCTTGTAATTTAGTGCTTCTAACACTTCAATTTTTCTATTCTGAATTAGAGAAAAGATTAATAAAAAAGAAGGTAACATCAAAATTACTTAAAAATTTTTTCTGTACAAAAACGAAAACAAAGAGCATCCAATAAAATTCAGGAGCATACACATAAAAATGATCATTTAAATAGTTAGCAAATTTGCAAAGTCAGGGTTTGAAGTGTTTACTTTTGCTGTCTCTGTAGTCTCTGATATTGAATGTTAAATACTTGCAAAACAAGAATTCAAAAAACAGAGGGTGACTAATGTGTGCTCTCTTATCACTAACAGGACAAATACAGCTATCAAAAATAGAATTCTACTGGTTACTTAATAACATGGGTCAGTCTTTTATAGCACAACTGATGCAACAGTGTGTGTGAGGGCTTGAAAATATATTTTGTGGTATCATATTTTACATAATTGGATATCTTTGTATATTGATAACTAGAAATGCATCAAAGTACTACAGAGAATAAAGTAAATGTAATACTGTTAATTCACAAAGAGTAGGCATTTGATAGTACAGATAAAACTGTTTAATGTTCACAAGCCAAACTTTTGACTACATTCCAAAATACGTTTTTATAGTGGAAGGAAATGTTCTGCAATGTTAATATACAAGTAGTATTTTTCTCCAGAATGGAATTATGTGTGAGGCTGCATTGTCCCTACTTTTAATATTACCCCTACACTTTTAACTTTCCAGATTTCTAAATTTACCAGATGTTTCTTTGGAAGCTAGAGGGGAAAAAAATCACATATATTGATCTTTTCCTTGAGAATACATTCATGATGTTGGTTATAAACTCTGTGACACATGATAAGCCTTCCATCTGGAATTTTGCCCTTAAAGCTAAGAAAATATATTTTACATAGATGGGAAATTTCAGAATGCTTTCTGCTCAAAGAGGGGTAGTTTACATCAATTTTAAATCTACAACAACTTAGCCAAAATATACATATATTTATAAATGTCATCCTCTAGTATTCTGAACATTTTTTAAAAATAGATCCAGAAAATTTAACATATATACTTTTGGCAATAATTATTTTCCATGTAGATTTTAAAACTCATTTGCCCATTATTTACATATGCACATAACTTTGGAGTTAAATTTTTACTCCTCCACACGCTTCATACACTCTCCACCAGATCTCCCATTCCAATAACCTGTCCCCTTCCTCACCCATCCACTCTAAAATAAACAACACTGCATTAAATGAGCAAATATAGCTGTGGGTGCTACCTTTCTATATAAACCTTTAAAAAAAGATTTATTTGTTTATGCATATGAGAACTTGGGTAAAATGCAGAGGTGTGGGAGTTGGCGGGAGGCTGGCAGGCATGAGCGGGGAGGGAGGGTTTGGCGAGAGGATTTACCAGAGACTGAGTGGGGAGCAGAGCGGGTGATCAACTGAAATACACTGCCCTCTTGGGTCTCTTCTCAGACCCCCTCTTACGGTCTTTCAGAGCCTCTCAGGACTTCCCTGGTGGCACAGGGATTAAAGGGCAGGCAGCTCTATGCAGCTATCCACAGCCACTGCAGCATGAGTTCTATCCCTTGACAAGGAACTGACAGCAGATCTCTCTGCCCCTCAGCTACATATTTCAGTCAACCTGCCTGTTCTACTCCCCACACTGTCTGTGGTGAATCCTCACACCCCCACCTACCTCTAGACTGTATCCCAGTTCTTGTATGCATAAATAAATAAATCTTTAAAAAAAAGTTTAGAACTAACCTTACTCTTTGACCTAATAATTGACATATGTATAGACACAGGGATGCTTAGCATCATGGAAATATTACTTTTATAATTGTAGTTTAATAAAAACTTAAACATATCCTAAATGTCCAAGAAGATACTACTAGTGATATAAAATATAATCACACTTATACTTCTAAATTATAGACATGTAAAACAAATTTTTAAAAATGATGCAGAAAATGCCCAAATTTTAAAGTCCAGTTCAATATTAGAATGCTAAAACATATACATTAATTTCCAGATATGTTTAAGAAATTATCCACATATAATAAAATAAATTTTAAAAAGAACAAAGTGTAATTTTGATAAAGATAAATTTTCTTGCTTTGATGCTCTTCTTTCTTTCCAAACTCCCTAATGAATATGGATTTCTTTACTACAAGGGGAAATCTCATGAAATAGAAAAAAAACTGGGAAGAATTCTGTTAGGAGTTGAGAAGTTGGGAGAATTTTATGAAAAATGCATTATTACACTGAATAATAGGTTCTGCATTTCACTAAGCTATTCTTTCAAATCTGTAAGTTTAAAAATTGTTGAACATTGATTTTTACACTTAGAAAACAAGCCCTAGAGTGGTTATACACTCAGTTGAGACATAAATCTGGGGCCAGCAGTCACTCAAAACTCAAGTGTAAATTACATCATGTTTTATGTAGTAATTTCAAGTTATGATTTGTCTTCACATTTTTAAAATTTCTGGTTAATGTTTTACCTTTATTTTAAATTTTCATGAATTTTTTAATGAGGTACTGTTGGTTTTTACATGTTTAAAGAGTTACTTCTTTTAAAAGCCTAAAAGATGAACCACCTGGCCTTTTCCAGGAAAAAAAAAAAAATGTGCTGCCTCTCATTCTAATCCTCAATCTAAATCTCTGTATTAGAATTAAAGCTACAATTAAAAAAAAAATTCCCTGTAACATAACCTAACAGGAAGAGGGTACATCCCACCTTGTCTTAATCACTTATTCTAGCAAGCCCTTCACCTTCATTCAGTTGCTTATTTGCTCATTTATTGATTTCATAAAGACGTGGCTCCTGCCTTTATAAAAATGATTCTTATAGAAAGACAGGAAATAAACAATAAACAAAATAATTGTAGCTCAAGGTGAAACAATCACATTGTGCGACA